GCGTTTCTCCCCAATGCGCCATGCCACTTTGCCAGTCATACACACGTTTCGATGCGTGCCCTGTCAGCTGCTTGCGTTGCATGTCGCCTTGCTCCACCCCTGTTTTATTGCTTTCTCTGCTTTCGCCCGGTTCCCGTCCCGTTTCGGCGGGGAGTCTATGTTGCAAGCTAGTTCTTGCTTTACCAGACTTTAAGCCCACACAAGCAAGCAAGCAGGTTGCTGGCTGTGCGCACCGCTGGCGGCAGGCGCGTGCCCATCCAGCTCACCAGCCCCAGCCAGCTGTCAGGCATCCACACCGGCATGGCGATAGAAGTGACCGGCGAGTGGCAGCAGCAGCGGCAGCAGCAGCAGCAGCCAGCGGCGGCGCCAGGCAGAGCGCAGTCAGCGGCAGCGGCGGCGGCCCGCCCAGCGCAACCCCCGGGCTTCGTGGCAGCTTCCATCCGCGCATCAAGGGCAACAGCCGCAGCCCCCAGGGCCGTCACTGTAGCCGCCGGTGCAGGCGGCGGGGTGGTAGCCGCCGCAGCCGCTGCGGGCGGCGCCGCCGCCCAGCCGGCTGCCGCCACGGTTGTCCTCAGCTACCACCAGCCAGTGACCAGCACCCTGACCGCTGTGTTCATCCCAAGTGAGCGAGCTGGCATGCTGGCTGCTGCATGCCACCCTGCTGGCTGGCAGGCCCCTGCCCGCATGCAATGCTCCGTGGCACCCCCTCCCGCCAGCAGCAAGCGCTGCTCTCCCTGCCGCTCCCCAATCCTTGCAGTCGTCGCCGCCGTGGCAGACGGCAGCGGCGCCGCCTGCCCCGGCACCGCGCCGCCGCGGGTCGCCATGGAGGAGGTGAAGAAGGCGGTCTTTGCAGAGGCCAGCCCAGGGGCCCCTACCGTGGGCTCCACATTCAACCAGTGCTCCTACGGCAAGACGCGGCTCACCACAGCTTCCTCCGCAGTCCTCGAGCCCGTGCAGCTGCCCTGCAACGGCACCAGGCACGCGGGAGGCGCCGCCGCTGCTGCCACGGCTGCTGCGCTGGTGCTGCCGCTGAGGCGGGACCCTGGCCTGCGCATGGCAAGCTGCTGTGCTTGCATGCCAGGCCGCTCCTCCAGCCACATCATCCACACCCTCCTGCCCTTGCCTCCGTTCTTGTCTTCCCCTTGCAGCTACGGCGTGCCCTGGTCATTCGAAAAGTGCGACTTTGACGACTTCAACGGCTGGGCGGATGTGGCAGACGCTGAGCTGGCGAGGCGCGGCGTCGACCTGTCCCAGTACAAGCACAGGTGGGGCTTGGTCGTGTGTCTTGCGTGTTTCCTGCTCCGGTGTGGTGCGGCGAGCTCGCCTCGAGCCGGGGCCGGGTGTCACACCGCCATGGCTGCCGCCGGCTCAGGCTGGGCTCTCAGCACTGCTACCCCGCCACCCAACTCACACGTGCCCGCCGCCTCCCGCTCCCCTGCAGGGTCTACCTGCTCCCTCCAAGCGCCTGCGCCTTTGTGGGCCTGGCCTACATCGGCTGCGACGGCTCCTACGACTGCCGCTCCTGGCTGGCCGCAGACTACTGGGCCATCCCCCAGGCCATAGCCCACGAGCTGGGGCACAACCTGTTCATGGCACATGCCGGTTCCTCGGACACCGGCGGTGGCTTCGACGAGTACGGCGACAGCGCCGGCCTCATGGGCTCCTGCTGCTCGCCGCGCTGCCCCAACACGCCGCACGCGTGGCAGCTGGGCTGGATCGCGCCGCGCCTGCTGGACGGCGGCAGCCTGCCCGCGGGCCAGACGCTGGAGGTCAGCCTGGCCAGCCAGGCGGCCACCCCCCGCTCGGGCCTACGCATCGTGCCCAGCTGGGCCGCCGGGGTGGACCCCATTTTCGTGGGGTACCGCACCAGGGCGCGCGGGGACGTGGGGCTGGCCCCCGAGGCCGCCCGCAGGGTCCACATACACACCGCCGCCATCGCCAACCCGTACGACGCACGCGTCACGGTGTGGCGGGCCGCGCTGGGCGGCGGCGCCGACGTCTGGGAGCACCCCGCCTCCGGCCTGGTGGTGAGGCTGGTGGGCGCCGGCCCCAGCGCCGCCGCCATCACCGTGTGCCGCAAGGGCGGCGCCGAGACCGTGGCCTCCTGCGCAGCCGGCAGGGACAACGACTGCAATGGGCTGGTGGGGGCGGGCGACCCGGCATGCGCTGCGTTGCTGCGGAAGCGCCACCCGCGGCACACGCCTCTTGGCAAGCTGCCTCGCGGGCGCCGCTTGTGAATGCGCCTGCTGCATTGTGTGCACATACTGCTCCTTCCCACTTCCCTTTATTACCTGCATGCATCACGCTACCTTGCTGCACGTGCCCCATCTGCAGCACCACTTTTGCCACCCCGTACCCTCTGAGCCCCGCATGCTGTCCTCTCACCCTTTCATCCGTGCCTGTCATCCACTCCCTGTCATCCACTTCTGAAACGCATTCCTTTCCTCTTCTTTAGGCCGTCTTCCCTTTCTGAAAAACACATTACTTCTGAATTCTTCAGCATCAGCGGCGTTGCTTTCACACTTGTGTACACACTGGCCCCAACTCGGAACGTTTAAGGCTCGGAGCCTTAAGCTTTCTCCATTATGTACATGCCAATCATCTCTTTCCAGTTCGCTTTTTGCCTAACCAACCAGCCTCAGCTGAAGCCTACATGCACACCTCACTTTTGCGCACAAGTGAGTGCACAGCCACTGGCGGTCGCCGCCAGTCGCCACGGCGGCGGCCCTCCCGCTGCTGGAGTTCTCTGCGACGCAGTCGCCTGCCAACTCCTTTTTGTATGAACAGATGCAAAAATGTGTATAAACAGTATGTAAAATCTAGGCAAATAAGTCAGAACAACTGCAGCAGCGGCAGCAGCAGGCGGCGCCCTGCTGTGCCAGCTGCGAGACAGCAACTGAGTCTTACACTCTCGCTACTTCATTCTACTCACAACTGCATGATTGATTGCGCTTATCATGCCTTGATCGATCGACTAGTCACCAGCCATGCCTGGCTGGCAGCACTACAGCACTACCTTTGTGCGACTATATAACCGGAATGCGGGTCATTCCGGGGCCTTTCTCTCTTCTTTGTAACTGACTTGACTTGACTGGCCGCAGCCGAGCTCCGGCTGCTACTAGACTTCGACTAGACCCGCTGCCTGCTCTTACAACAACATCCACCCCTTTTCCCGCCCTGCGCCATGCACAGCTGCACAGCGCAGGTTCCCGACCACTTCACGCCGGCAGTACCCATGAACAAGGCCTCCAGCAGAGCCTCTGCCTCCGTTTTCCCGCTCCACTGCACTACCCCTTCTTCACGCTCCGTGAGTGCAGGCTGAGCTTGCGTGCAGCGGGCCAATAGGATGCCGCTCCATCTGCGCCCTACGAGAGCTCCTAGCAGCAGCCTGGGGCATTGGAAGTGCCGGGAGGCGCTGAAACAAACACCCCTTTTGCTGCAGGCTTGGCGCTGGCCAGCACCGTGGCGGTGCTCCTGCTGGCCCCCGCTGCCCTTGCATTTGACGGCAGCTGCGCCGACGCTCCCGCCTGTGAGTCTTCAACGAGCATATAGCGTGCGCCATCCCCACCCGCCGCCGGCCGGCCGCCTGTGGCGCCGCCGCCCGCGGTACATGCCGTCATCATGACTGACCTGGCGGCGGGTCAGCTGGCGCCGCTTGCTGCTCCAGTTGCCTGCAAGGTCCTCCTGATCGCCAGGAAGCTGGTCTGCTTGTATCTTCCACAGATCAGGCTTCAGAAGGGGTGTGTGCCCAGAGTATAGAGCTGCTTCAAGGCCAGGGCACCATCCTCACCAGTAGCCCAGCCCCGGGCTCTCTGTCCTGGGCGCTGCCAATGCCCACGAGCAGCCATGCCGGCAGCCACAAGGTTCACGACCTTCCCCGAAGAGATCCAAGGCCTAATTCTGGCTCGCTGTGGCCTCGAGGACTGGTGAGCAGGCCTGAGCTCGTGAGCGATGTGCCTGTTGGGGCTAGGGGGGGCTTCGCGCCGCCCGCGCCAGCGCCGGCGCTCCCGTCCAGCGCAGCCACTGCCGCGTTGCCTCAACTGATTGCACATGTGCAACGCCTTCCTTGTGCAGCCCCCCCTTCGTGCTGTTTTGCAAGGCCTGGCATCGCCTGGTGTACGAACAGCCTGAGCTGTGGCGCTCGCTGCGTGTGCACGTGCCCGAAAGCGGCAGCACCACCGGCGGCGGCAGCCCGGCGCCGCCGCTACGCTGGCTGGCGGGCAAGCTGGCGCTGCGGCGGCGCGTGGGGCCCCTGGTGTCCCGCCTGCACCTGGTGGGCAGCGGAAGTGTGGGCGTGCCGCCGCAGCTGCTGCCCTGCCTGCAGCAGGCGACTTTGGAGGAGCTGATCCTGACCCAGCCTCGGGAGCTGCCGCCCGCCATGGCGTCCACCCTCACCGGCTTCTCTGGCCTGCACAGCCTGGAGCTGGCGGTGCTCGGCACCCGCCCGCTGCCGCTGACGACCACTCAGGCGGTGGCCGCCGCGCCCGGCCTGCGGCGGCTGACACTGATGGCCGGGCGGCTGCAGCCTGCCCTGCTGCGCGGCTGCCTGGCGGCCCAGCAGTTGACCCTCCTGGAGCTGACTTCGAGCGACGTGCCGCTGCCGCCGCTGCACCCGCTCACGGCGCTGACAGCCCTGCGCGAGCTGTCGGCGTTTGAGTGGTGCAGCGGCGCAGGCGGCATGCGCCCTCTGCCGCTGTCGGCCTTCCCGGCCATTCGCCGCTTGGCCTTCCGCTCCACAGCCTTCCAGGTGCGCCTGGCACTGCGCGTGTGTGTGGGCAGGCATCCCTCACCGTCGCCGGCGTGCGCAACAGCCTGCCAGGCACCAGCGCCCGCCGCCCCACCCCCACCAACTGCCTTCCTTTCCGCAGCTGGCAGACGGGCTCGAGGCGCGCTCAGCGCCAGGAGCGAGGTATGCGATGTTCCAGCTGCGTATGCTGCCCGCAGCAGCTGCCCAGCCCTCGCCCCACCTCAGGCCATCGCAGCCTGTGGGGCAGCCTGCCGCGTCAGCCTCACCGGGCGGAGACTGGGTGTTTGCCTGCTCGGGGCTGGAGCTGGGCCGGGAGCTCCCGCTGCATGCCATGCTGCGCGCGCTGGGCGTGAGGGGCGCCAGCCTGGTGAGGCTGTCCATGGAAGAATGCCAGCTCTCGCCTGCAGCCTTCCTGCCGCCGCCTCCCGGCAGCAGTGACCCGCTGGCCGGCGTGCAGCGGCTGATCCTGGAGTCGCTGCTGCCTGCCGGCGGTGGAGGCGGCAACTTTGCTGCTGAGGGCGGCCAGCCGCACCAGCCCGGCGGCGGCGCTGCTCCCCCATCGGAAGGTCTGGACGCTTTACTGAGGCAGATGATGCTCAGCATGCCGCGGCTCAGCGTGCTCAACCTGCTGGGCACCCCGCTGCCCGGGGGCAGCCCGCCCGCCAGCCTGCTGCAGCTCACCCGCCTGACGGTGCTGCAGATGAGCGGCTGCCAGCTGGCCACTCTGCCTCAAAGCCCGGTCGTGTCACGTGAGTTGCCACGGTGGCGGCGGTAATGAGATAATCATCTCTCAACACATTGCTTCCGGTACACCGCTCTGCCTAGCCAGCTTCCTGCTACACCCAGCTCCACCGATGCGAAGGTTATGTTTCCTAGTGCCCCATTGCAGGGCTGGCGGTCCTGGCGCTGGACAGCAACAACCTTGAGGTCCTCCCGCCAGCACTGGCGGGAGCCCGCCAGCTGGAAACCCTGGTGCTCACGGGAAACCCCGAGCTGCGGGTTGCGGCAGCAGATGTGGAGGCTGGCGGGGCGCTGGGCGCGTAGACGGCGCTCACCCTCATGGAGCTGCCGGCCGGCGCGATTGACAAAGCGGCAGTGCAGCGCCTGGCACAGCGGCTGCCACGGCTGCGGGTGGTGCTGAAGTGAGGGGAGGAGTGTTTGGCGCAGCCATGTAACTGCAGCGCGACTGAGAGCAGGTCCGATAGGGTGATTGGAGCGCAGCCGCCGCCGGCCAGCGCCACCGCTGCCGCCGCTGCCGCAGAAGCACCCTGCTCTGGCTGCCCCAAGCCCCCTGGCTGCTGACTGCACGGTAAACAGACTGACGCCTGCGCCAGTGCTGCTAGTTGCAGTCCACTGCGGGCAGCATGGGAGTCAACACACGTGCAGGGCTGTGGCCCGTCCTCAACCGACTCCCGAAGGTTCTGGCAATGGAAGGCCGCGCAGCCTCCAGGCGGGATGATGTCAAGCTGAGGGCAGGGACATGGCGGCTGAGGTGTCCATTTTTGGCTAGCACCTAGAGCATCGTTCTGGCGGCGCCTGTCCACTTTGTTTCGTTTCGTCGACCGCTCACAATGCAGCAGGCACTGGTTGCGCAGGTTAGAGCCGCCACATGCCCCGGCATCCCCACCCAGTCTGAGGGCTGCGCCAGCGCTCCGCATGACGCCCGCTGCCCGCTGCCCACTGCCCGCAGGTCCTTCCCGTGGCGTCCTATGGCGCCAGCCGGCGCGCCCAGCCCTGTGCAGCAGCACTGGCGCCCGCTGCCTGGCACCGCCCAGCCACGGCGGCCGCCCGCCAGACGGTGTGCGCCGCCTCGCAGCAGCAGGTGAGCCTGGCCACCGTCCCAAGAGCTGGACAGGCTTGTATGTATTTCCCGTGAAGCCGCTCGGGGCCTGGCGAGACGCAGCGCTGCCTCCAGCTTGCGTGGCATGGGCGGGGTGCTGCCGCCGCTCTGTGCTGCCGCCGCCGCCGTGGATAGCTGGCCCTGGCCTCCCCAGCCGCCCCTCCCCCACCTCGCCCCTCCCTGAGCCTGCTGCACGCACGCCCCTGCGCGCACGCAGGTGAACGTGGCGGCGGCGGTGGAGGCGCCCGCGGCGGCGCAGGTGGACTGGAAGGCGGTGGCCGAGCAGCTGGACAGCCGCAGCCCGCTGGAGATCATGGATCACGTGAGGCGCCGCCGCTCTGGTCGCCGCCGCCGCTTTGGTCGCCGCCGCCGCTTTGGTCGCTGCCGCCGCCTTGGTCGCTGCCGCCGCTTTGGTCGCTGCCGCCGCCTTGGTCACTGCCGCCGCTTTGGTCGCTGCCGCCTTAGTCGCTTTCGTCGCTGCCTCTGCTGCCTCGGTCGCTGCTGCTTGTTCTTCTTCTGCTGCTGCTGCCTTGGTCACCGGTGAAGCTTTTCTCGCTGCCGCTGCCCTCCACACTCGTCCCAGCCGCCGGCCGCGCCTGGTGCTGCCGTTGCCGCGCCTCAGCTCAACTCAGCCGCCGCCTGCTGACGCGCGCCTGCTGACGCGCGCTTCCGCCTCCCCGCCTGCAGGCGCTGGCCACCTTTGGCAGCGACATCGGCATCGCCTTTTCCGGCGCCGAGGACGTGGCGCTCATTGAGTACGCCTACCTCACCGGCCGCCCTTTCCGCGTGTTCAGGTGCGGCCCTCTGTGCTGGGCAGGGGCTGGGGCCTGCAGGCAGGCGTGGCTGGCAGCCTGGCGATGCAGGGGCCGCAGGTGGTAGCAGAGCTGCGGAGGGGTCTGGGCCGTGTGGGGCAGGCGTGGCGGCTGCCTGCTGCGGCCCGCCGGACTCTGCCACAGGCCCCCTTGCACTCCCCCTCTCACTGTCTGCCCTGCCCCCTCGCTGCCTGCGCCCCTGCCTGCCCCGCCCCGCCCGCAGCCTGGATACTGGCCGCCTCAACCCGGAGACGTACCGCCTGTTTGACAAGGTGGAGAAGCACTACGGCATCAAGATCGAGTACACCTTCCCCGACGCGCAGGTGCGGTACTGCGGTACCGGATGGTACATTCAGCATGTGCGGTGCAGGTGCACGGCGGCGCAGTGCCGCGGTGGTGTGGCATGCAAGAGTCGGGGGCAGGCAGGCCTGCGTGCGCGGCTTCCCTGCAAGACCTAGGCAGACCTGTCCTAGCTGCCCGGCCCCTCCCTTCCTGCTGTCCCCGCCCCGACCCGCCCGGTACCGCTGCCGCACCGCCCGCACTATACCGCAGGAGGTGATGGACCTGGTGCGCGAGAAGGGCATGTTCTCTTTCTACGAGGACGGCCACGGCGAGTGCTGCCGCATCCGCAAGGTGCGGCGCCGGCTGGGCGCCAGCTGGGCGCAGGGCGGCGGCCGGGGGTGCCCCTCCCGTCCGCCTCTGCATTGGCGGCCGGGCCGGCATCGCCGCTGGGCCCTCTGCTGGGCCGCACGCGTCCGGCTGGTTGTGCGCTTGGCATGAGCAGCGCATGTGGCGCAGGGCGGTGGGAAATCCTTGCAAGCTGTGGAGCGGCACCGGGGCGCCGCGGCCCTGCCTGGAGCTGCTGCCGCCTCCCGCGACCGCTTGCGCGTGCCTGCCCCCCC